TGTATAAGAGACATAATTATTAGTATCTCGATAACTATTGCGAAGATCGCAAAATGGTAGAGGACTTTTTTGTTCAGTTTGGTCCACACTACCTGCCCACAAGCGCTGTACTATTGAGTACGAGACACCCTGTATATGAAATGTCATAGAGATATAAACGAAAGTATGCATAGCTGCGTAAGTTTTTATTAAGATTCTTATTCGAATTTAATGTATTGCGCACACATTTTCTAATGCATCACAATTATCTATACATTAATATATATTATAAATGTTCATAAAAAAATAATAGAATTTAAATAATTTAATATGATGGTATACATTAAATATACTATAAATGATATACATTCTATATACATAAACGATTCTATGATTATCGACTTAAGAAATACTTGATGTATTTATGCAGCACAGTATTTGGTTGAAGTACTTGTACTATATAATTACGAGAAAAACTGGCACTGCCCTAAAGTAAGAATAGAAATACTGCCAATAGTTAGCAGAAGGCATAAATATCTACCCTTGATAGGTATTCTGAACAGCCTGGCACACATTTTCAATGAAGATGTATACAAGAGTATACTATCAAGATCTTCGCCTGAAGTAGTTTGATACACAAACGGCCGTATACGTATCTCATGTCCCACAGCTCGGATCATGGAGCAGGCATTCGTTAAGCGTGCAGCCTAAAAATGCATAATATACTCAGGACTGGATTAGTTTTTTCAACTAATTGTAAGTTACGTTAAAAATTACATAAAACAAAAATTAATTCTAAATTAACTGAAAGTTTTTAAAAGTTAATTTTAAAAAGAATTAATTAAATTAAAATAATGATAATTTTTATAAATACTTTAAATTCACCTTGAACATTAAAATTACAAATAATTGTAATATATTATAGATTTAATAGTTTACTTATAAATTTATATAAAGTATAATATAAGAAATATAGCTTTTTTTAGAGTAAAATGTAAATTACTCTTAAAATTATGTACAATCACAAAAATTATGTAACAATCATAAAAATAGTCGCAATTATGCATAATATAAAATACATTACAAATAATTATTAAATAGAAGTTATTACAAACTTTTTCTTTATTAGTTTTTTTCTCTTAATTTTAAATCATAGTCACTGGTAAAATCTTGGTTTTTTAAATTCAAAATTACATGACAATCGCAAACAAGACGAAAGCCTATTGTTTAATATTTAAGATTGTATCAAAGAAAATACTATTAGCGCTTTTTATTTTCACTACTGTAGATATTGTAAATTAACTTTAATCTCGATTAACTCATTTTTTATTTTTTTTCTAGTTCTAAGAACCAGTAAAAGCGACTTAATTAAACAGAGATTAAAGTTAATCTATTTTATTAGTAAATATGGATATTAGAAAGACAGAACAAATTTCAATTTTTAAAAAGTTAATACAAGTTAAAAAGTTAATATATTTAAAATGACTAATTAAATTTGAAAAGTTAACTCATTTGAAAATTAATAAGTTACTTTGTAGAGTTATTGACTTTTAAAAACTTTACTTATTCTATATCTCCTAAACTTTTTAACTAGTTCCCAAACAGCATGTCTCGATTTTGGATATACATGCGCTGTCTAAGTTACTATCCACATACACATCATACAACTCTGGTAATATTAATCAACAGTAGAAAAGATGTAATGTAATAGTGATGTACCTGTATAAATGGAGCGATCGAAATCAAAATCCATAACACAACATTCATTATGTTAGCATATGTAACAGGATTGTTGTCTCCAGGATTGTTGTTGATGTAATATTGAAACAACCATACGATACCGGCGACTGCCCATGATAACTTAACTATAGTATAAATGCAAACAGCTGGACCTAATTCATCATTGAAGTATTTCAGCAGCTTCTTGAACTCGTCGATGTCCTGTAAGTCACAAATAAAGGGAAACTTATAGAATAAACAAATAAATCGATAAAGTTAAATAATTAACTTGTCGATAGACAAACGATAAAATTCAATTCAAAGCTAAGCTTGCCGCGAATATAGATATATATATATATATATATATATATATATATATATATACTTATATTATTATCGTTTCTGTCTTTGTGCACTTTAATCTCCAATTTCACTTCTTGTGCAGAAGATTTCTCAGTTAGCAATATTTTGAAATCGGTTTAAATTTGTATTTTCAGTCAACAATTTCAATAAGCGAACGTGGCTCAGGTAAAAAAAATGTTCATATTTTTAAGAATTTTTCGTCTTTCAAATTTATGAAAATGTAAAAAATGCCTTGTTTATATTTTATACATTTCTTTAGAAATTCTAAAATGAAAAATCTTAGAATTTTCAGAATTCACATATATAAAGAATTTTAGGAAAGACGTAAGACTTTCTTAATATTTTTGAAAAATGTTTCAATTTATACAAAAAAATTTAAGAAATTTTTTAAAAAGTTACATAAAAATTGTGAAAAATTTATATAAAAATTCTATGGAAAATTCACAGAAAAATTTTCAAATTTCGGAATGAATATAAAGCATTGAGAATTACATTAGAAATTAGACGTAGAATTTCAGTCTAAAGTCGGTTTCAAAGGACGTCAAATTGAGGCATCTTTTGTGTGCACTAGGAATTAAAGTGGAGACTCCTCCAATTAAGTGCATAAAGAAAGAAAGTTTTATCGCATATATATGTGTCTTACGGTTTTTACTAATCTTGAAAAATATTTGTTTATTTCTTTCTTCAGAGTAAAAGATTATTGCAAGATGTGAATCACAGACCCTCATCCAATCAATGGGCAGTAGAATATGTTGGAGCAGCTTTCCGCGTAGAAAATAAAGATGCGACATCAATAGCTGTCCTTGCAGACAGTAGCTTGTTATAATGGTCCCCTGGACCATGTCGTGCCATAAGGTGCAGATGATTAGGAGTACTTTCAACATTATCTTCACCTGATATGGACTGTAAAGGACGAAATACGAATGTTTCAATTTAATTACCGAAGTAACATTCTTCATTCTATGCACAAATCATTTATACATTATTATTATTATTATTATTATTATTATTATTATTACTATGCGTATAACTACCTATTTTCCATCCATTGAAACACAATATTTCTTTCTGCCATCTGAATATTCACAGTAACCAGTGCTATGATCATCCACACTATACTTAATGCTATGAACAACCATAGTATGTGCACAAGGCGCTTTTGGTTGCCGCGATTTATCGGATTTGAAGAGAGCAGAAACGCTCTCTCCATCAGATTCTGCAGCTGCTCATTTTCCTTAACGCGAAATAGATATATCGTGTATAAATACGCTACTAAATGTAATACACTTGGAATTAAATAGCTGAATATCACATTTCCATAGCAAGACAGTTCCTGTGGCTGTTCCCTGCTGACGTCATTTTGTTCCAATAAGGCTACTTTGTAACAGAATCCTCGGTCTCGTCTGAAAGTAATAAATGCACCCATTTTATTATAGTATTTATAATAGATAAAATGAAGAAATAAATTAAACAAATTAATAACATACTGAAATATAAAAAAGAAATGTGTGTGTATGTTGTGTGTGTTTACAGAATGATTCGTTTTAATCTTAACAATCAAATATTGCAAAAGAAAACCATCTTACGAAAAAATATTTTAGACAAAAGTTTTATGATGTGAAGGAGGACAAATAATCGATTTTTCAAAGTCACATAAAGATCATCGCCATTTTTTAAATAGAATTATATAACTTTTTTCATAATACAATTTTATTATATATATATATATATATATATATATAAATTTTTTATTAACACTTGACTTACGTTTTT